AGCGGTTTTTGATACGTTTCCCGGCCATGTGTGTGTCCGCATTATTTGTTAGACTTTGTTGGTCGTTATAACGCTTGACTAGACAGTGACCTATTTAGTACTTACAAACTTACTATTCACTATTTACTTTTTCAATTTATAAAATGTTATTATTTATTTTTAATACATTTTAATTTATTTATGTTTAATTAAATTAATGTTATTTATTTATCTTTTATTATTTTAATTGATTAATTTTATTTACTTTTCTTTTATATATTTTTATTATATTATAATACATTTATTAATTTATTATTGTTATATCATATTTATTTCTTAATTTAATTTTCTAATTTACTCTTTACTATTTACAAGTAAAATTAGAATCTGTAGGTTTAATTACACAACCGACAGTGGTCAAATTAAGGTCGAATCATCGCACATCAACCTTATTGCGGCTAGGCTGTCATGTTGAAGGCTGTTATACGATACTGCGGTGGCTTTCATCTCTAAAGGTCTTCATCGTCGTAATTTACGGTGAGACACCACCGGCGTCACCCCGACGCGGGACGGTTATGTGCCCTCTCCCCTTTTTGGACGCTTAGGTTAGGCACTTATTCTTAGTATTTATCATTTATTATCATTTAGGTTATTCCACTCTTACCGGTGGGCTCGTCATGTAAATGACCAGCTCCTCCAGCGACAAACAAATCCTCCAGAGCCCAAACAAGTATCAAAGGCAAAGGTAGGCTTGTTCTAATCGTCGGTGCTGATCATCATCGGTGGAGTGTTTACCGGTATTAATCAAAATATGGTTTTATGCAGAAGTCGTACTTGGAACTACTGTCCATCATAAGCATCTTAAGAGACTACATGTTCATCGTCGCCATAAAGCTCATAAGATATATTCTAATGGTATCTTCGTGACCTTGACCTCAGCTAATTTAGCTGAGCAATATAGCAATATAGCTGCCAATGGCTGGAGGCATGGATGGACGTTGGTTTATTCCTAGTTTACCTCAATATTTGCATTTATTAAGAGTTGACTATAGTTTCAGATATTGACACTGTAAACTGCGAAACGTTAATTGGCGAATTCCAATATTATTCCATAAAATTGAGAAGGATCCGGATAATAATTTTTCAGCCGGTAATGCTTGGCTTCGTATGAATTTAAAGCCCCAAGAAGGTGCATTTATATACGTCCGTACTAGCAGTAAGAACTCGAATCGTGAAGGAGATAAATGTTAATGATCGTACACCGCGAAAAAATATATTTTATAGATTATATAGGTGTAACGGTGATTATGCATGTCCGCAGCAGTGACTCTACCTCAGCATGTTTCATCGGCAACTGCAGATTGGGATATAAAAAAAAATCTGTCGCTCCTTATTTGCTTGTTGCTTTTTGATTTGAATGATGAACACGATTTTCAATATAATCACATTAAAATTCATGCACATTCAAGGGAACTGGGGTGGTGTTTCTACTCGTTTATTCTAATGGAGCTGGGTCTATTTGTACTGTTTGAAAAAATAGCTTGTAATGAAGATACATTCATACAGAAGTCATCGATGACGACACCATATGTCATATTTTTATATATGAAACATGTGAAAGATGGAAAAAAGAAACAACATATGCCACCATAGTCCTCTATTTTTACAATATACACTATCGAATTTGTTAGCCATTTGGTTACATTTTTCAGAATCCAAGTTCCGACCCATACATTGTAGACGCACGGCGTAACTATGAACAGCCTGTCATCGTTTATATACAACCGCATGGCGAGTTGCGCGGCGGAGCCTGGACCGCTGTACACATTTTTCCGAACCTTGCCCAGACACAGACGTACGTCGAGATGAACCCGAGGGTATTGTCGAAGACAGTTCCAGAAAAAAGTCCATGCACCGTTTAGACTCGTTGTCGTTGTCGTGATGTGTTGCAGAAAATCGCTATTAATAAAACGGACATTCGGGTTTCGAGAGAGTTGCAGAAGCGAGAAGATCAGTTGTGCTCAGTGTACCGTCAGGTGGCGCTAGCGTTCGCGGATTTGCACGATAACCCTCTGCGCCTGATAAATCATTCATGATATCGTCCAATGGTGAAAATCGCGTCACGTGATCTACGCGACATCTGCTTTTGCAATCCAAAATTAAGACGGAAGTTTTGTCGACAAGACCAGAGTTGGCGAGCTAGAGAAACTTTCCGTCAATGATTCGAAGTTGTGGATCGTAGTATTCTTGGTCCACCAAATAAACGCCCAACGAAGGGAGAAGCTGACGCCCACAATGAAAAAATTAAAACTTAAGACCAATAAAGATATACCGGCTGTTGCTAACAATGTAGTACCTACCAACTATTTTGAGAAAGACGCTTATATAAAAAATTAAAGCTATTTATAATAAAAAGTATTACCATTAGGAAGTACGTAATTATTAGATTATTAGTGCCTATTCTACGGGTACGGAATTAACTTAACACAAAGTTCGAGCAAGTCATTACGAGAAATGCAAACAAGCTTATTACATTTTTATTATATTACTATTAATATTACATTATTACAAATATTACGTACTGAGAACTGCAATCCGCATAGTCTTGGCGCACCATAAAACCTGAGTACCCTATTTCTTAGTAAGGCCCTAATTCTGAATGGCGGAAATGATTGTTTCGGATTTCACGAATTACTGAATGAAAACCGGAAACCCTAGTTAGGAATATTTAACCACCAAATCGATAGGCTCAAAGAATAAGCGACGTACTGTATTGTCACTTATTATGACATGTAGGTCAACGAATTTGGGATGTAGTCGTAGAAAAAAAACAGGAGTTAGGAGTAGTTGAACATCAAACGTAGAAGAAACAACGGGAAATAAAGATGCAGCTACATGAGTATATATGTAAGAGGCTAATACTCAGTTTGGCACATTGAAAGGCCCGGGGGCACAGGACCCTGCGTCGGACTCGTAGCGTCTGGCGCAGCATAAAACTTACAGAAGGAGCACCAGCACGCAACCCTTTTTATTTCTCGTTACGTCGTAGTGGTATGGGCTTACGTGCGCAATAATGCAACTCAGTTTTACAAAGCGATGCCGTACATGCGATCCCCGAAATTCCCGTGCGACTCTTTCCCTTCATCTTTGACTTCATATCCTTCTAGGTACCTCCCCATTCCATAAACTGCGCCCTTTTTTAGCTAGTCAGTCTATCTGAGACCGTTCCTTCATCACCCTTTACGGTGGGGTTATTAAGTCCCTCTACGATGTTCTCGTACACCCTTTTCGCCTTTGACCTTCACTACCATTGCTCCATTAGAGCCCTAATTAACAACTTCCTATGACATAGAAATCTCTCCCCGATCCCTTTTAATTAAATCTCGTCATACCGCAGTAGACGTATTAGATACGCTAAAGAAAGATGCAATAGTTTGACCTATTTGCTATACTGACTTTAAATATTTTAAATTGAGTGATTTTAAAAATTTTTCCCCTCAAGGTTTGGCATGAAGTCATATGAAATCGAATCAGGTCAGAACCAAGGTCTGCGAAGAACATGGAAAACTGGCTTTACTGGATGGAACTACCACAACACCAAATAAATATCTTACTGAGGTTGAGTTTATGTTGAAAAAAAAGCGCAAAAAGTACCAAATAGATAATGCAGTACTGGCGCATGAATATGTCGCTGAATTTGTGAAACGAAAAGCACTCCTGGTCTTACTGACGTGATGATCGAGCATCAGTACTAAGGCTTGTATTTATGTCGAGCTCGAAAGGCATTTAATCATGAAGGACCGTGTGTATATTAGTATTTGCATCATAAATATTGGTATATACACGTTACATTCGCGAAAGACGAACCTATATATGATCATAAAAATGCTAGCTTGGCCCATATCTCGACTTCCCTAATACTTGGCTGGGACTTACCAAGACCGTAATTTTCAAAAAATTGACCAAAAATTCTCAGGTGTCAATGGGCCGATCAATGAGCGAAAAAAATAAACATTTATTTAAAAAAACATCAGAAAGAAATATTACTAGATTAACCATTATTTCTATTTTTTTCGAGCTCTCAAGTTGAACCTACAGAACGTAATTTAGTCAAATGTGGCACGGCGCAATTCGTCAGTTAATCGAAAATATAGTGGTTTTTTAATCAGGTCTGCCATTGCTTTGTGCAAAATGACGTAGGCTTCAATGGGACACCGTCGGCGTGTCTGAACGTAAACGTTGCAGTTCTCTATACATAATTTTTCAGTAAACATCACATCTCCGCATTAGAATAGTAGCGTTATGGCTCGTGTTCTTCAGTTTAGTTTCCTTGTCATTTCCGCGGTGATTCTGGTATATGAAATGGCCTCATTCGATCTGCATACTTAAATCTGGTCTCGACTTACCGATATCATCATAATCTCTTTCATGACCAGTATCAGCAGCACGATCGACGTCCTCGGTAGGCCAATTCAGTAGAGGTTAGCAAATCAAAACCGAACAGAATATTGAAGTGCTCATTTTAATAGATTAGCATTCCGGAGCGGTTTTCGCGGTTCTAAATCACGCTTGAAGATCGAAAGGTGGTCGTTAGTAGGTAAACCTGTGGGTGTTTTTGTCGATGTGCATAGGTCAGACATGCCAGTCCCATTGGTATTAAAACTGCCATCGTCGCTGCTTCCGCTGCCGGTCACCTGAAGCACTATAGCTTCTTCCGCATTTGCCAACGCTGGTACATCTGTGTTATTGTTGTGTGTCCGACAACGACAAGGAGGCCGATCGCGACGATAGCGACCGCATGACGACGAAAGCGTAGTCCAATCCACTGCGAAAATGGCAGTGTCTATAGCGTCGGTCGGTGACGTTCTTAACGGGTGACGGACGGAGCGTCCGGGGAGAAGAACGGGCAGCCTACCAACAAGAGTCATCGAAAAAGGAACGCTGCCGTCCCTGTCGGTCCCTGTGCCCAGTGGAACGGCAGTACCAGTTAGTGGATGCACCGCTGTGGGGTCGCTGGCCTGAATTTGCTAAAGCCGTGGCCTGGCTCGTATGAGAATAGTCCAAATTACGTGAGCGAATCTTGCCATCGTATATGTTGCAACGGCGAAATAGTGCTGGAGCGCAGTCCTAGTTAGGTACCTTATCTGGACCAGCAATCCCTCTGGCTGTTCTCTGGCTAATCTGCATGTGCGGAGCCAACTCAGCAGCAGTAGCAAATCCCTTTAACGTTGGCGGTTCGTTGCAGCAAATTCTACAGAGCAGGAATTGCTTGCTCGATGAGTAGTATAATTGTGAGGTAAGAACACAGCAAATGGAGCCAAGGATAGAAGAGTGGTCTGGCGGGGCCTCCATTTTTATCGGCTCCCCAACGCTCTCCCCCTGTCTATTTGTCCGTCTATCTATTTGTCTACTTCTGTTTCTGCTTTCAGACATTCCTCTTCCCCCTTGCGCAAAACCGCGAACTGCGCCACAGCACCACGTGGTGCAGCAGATTTGTGCGTCTGCGTGTGTGTTCCGCTGCTTCCCAGGGTTTACTTATTTCTCTCTACCAACCGTCCGCGCTGCTGAAGCCGGCATTATTACCAGTGCAGCTACCGCTGTTACTCCATTCGCTGCCGCAATCGCTGTTGCCGAGTTCCTGCTGCAATTGAACTGCCTTGTGCCTTCTCGCTTGTCGTTAGCCCAATCGGTTGACTGACTGTGTCCGTAGACGCTACTGCGCTGCTGGCGTTTCCACAACAACGAACGTTTATGCTGGCTCGTTGGGGATCGCGGGGATCGTTGGCATTAGAGTCGCAAACGTTGCGGGCCGCCACAGAACTGAAGCTTTTTCGTAGATGAACCGACAAAGCTTAAAGTGGCAACTTGCTCATTTACCTCCTATAACGCCGCTATTCTAGCAGCGGTTTCTACCAGCTAGTGCGGTATCTATGATAGTGTTTGTCGTTGGTTTAGCTTTTATCGTACGTTGAATCCAGCAACGACCCCAACAAAGGCAAGGGAAGACCACTGATGCTATCGGCTAGTCAGAAAGAGCGAAGTAGGCAACGTGGACACGCAACGGGTTATCTTGCCGTTTTCGGCACGGCGGGATACATTTGTACAATTGGAATGGCTAAAAGTTTAAAGCGCTTGGTGAAGTTTACGGGGGAGTTCAATTAGTTAAAGTTGATTGTGCATCAAACGTACGTCGCTTAAGCAAATTGCGGAAGATCGAGAGATTTGCTGGAAAATCGATAAAGTTGTGTTAAGTGAAGGATGCTTTGAACGAACTCTTCCCGACAGTAAAGGGAAGATAATAAACAACTGCTTGTTTATCTCACACCGGATATTGGCAAGAATATTTGAGGTTTATAAAAATCTACGTCGACGGCCACTAAAATCAATACTTTGTTCCATGCGATGGCTATAACAGCGGGCAGCTCTCTCGCGCGTATCAACTCATCGGATGCCATCACCCCTCAACCGCTGAACACAAGAGCAACCATAACATCACTACCAATTGGTAAATAGTTGACATCATAATGCGTTCTTAATATCTGGTCTTGACAGCATATTGCGATAGTCTTTCTCTATGGTAACATGCTGATGTTTGCCATCGTATACGACGTATACGATCGCGTGCACCTTCGAAATGTTTCATTTAAAACCCTTAAAAATACGCTGTTCCGTAAAATCACCATTGACTCACACTCTAATATCAAGTAGTCATGTTTTCTTAACAAAAACACTTTATAGGGGGAAACGATGCTGATTGCTGTTTTTTTTTTTTTTATGGAACACGTCGCCATTTTTATGTTTATAAAAAAGCATCTAGTTGACAAGGTTTTATGTGAACATGATCAGTAAGCCATTGGGAACTGCATAGTGATTGCTTGACCGTTTGCCGAGCTTTAGGAGACCACGTTTTATATGAATCATTGCCAATTAGTTTTGTTAATTCAGCCCAATAGAGTTTTTGATTTTCAACAAGAATTCTATATATATATATATATAGTTACTATTTAATTGTGGGAAACGTGGAATTGCGCTTAACTTCTGCCGGATCGGCACTCTCATTGGTGTTCGAAAATCATCGTCTAGTTGCAATACATGGCAGCTCGTACTGCCAGGAGACCTGGCTGATACAAAATGATAAAATTTAATATTATATTAGACATTCGTGAGTTCATCTCAATCCGGTTGCATAAATGGATGTAAATGCACCTTGGGTTTAAGTTGGACAAATCGGTAGGTCCTAAACAACCCGACGCCGACAAGCGGAAGCTACATCCACGGCCCAGGAATCCCGTTGTTTAACGGTGCTGTACCAAAACATCATGGGCATCAGTTATGGTATTATGGGCAAGATGTTGAAAATATTATTTAAATGACAAAGAGGAAGCCCCGGGATAAGTTACGTAAAGCTAAGTATTCTAAGTACCCGCGATAAGAAAATTGCTGATCGTTAAACGCCATGTGGAATAGTAGGTCTTTTCAACAGAGCGTATTGGTAACATCCACAGGCACACTGAAAAAGCCACAGTACACTTGTTTCCAGGTTTAAGTCTTTTAGAATGAAAATATTTTTTTAGAATGCCGTGTTCGTGGCGGAATCGTTTATCCTTTGGACATTCTAGGCGACAAATATTCGTTTCAGAAGGCCTTCCAGCGCGAACTTCCCCTACACAGATTACAACAACACTGATGCGCTTAAGGCTTTGAAAAGACGGCCCAGCAGACCCTAAAAGATCCTGTTTGTTAAAAAAAAAAATGAATAGGGTACCATATTCTGTCTGTAGTAACGTTCCGAATTTATATAATAAATGGTTTAATTGTTCGAACGCAACAATAGCCAACACAACTAGTGCTGGCAACTTGGACGCCATTAATGATGTGACGCTGTTCCTAGCCAAAGACAAACAACATACATTCCATTTGTCCCGTAATTAATAATAATAGCCTATAATACACTCACTGTCTGCTTGAGTGCCGTGATCCGACGCCAACGGATATTTGGTTCAGCACAATAGATACAGCCTTTCGAGAACTCCGAATCGCAGAGGTAGCAAGAATGCCTTAACAGTTTGCCATGCAGACGATACTTTCAATACTGACATAAATGAGCCTTGATTTATTGACTTCTTACTACCTTACAATCCATATCAATACGCAGCTGTATAGTCGCTGGGCAAAATCTGACCCTTGCCGGACTGGAACAGGATTCATGTGGCTCTGTAGTGGCAATAACTCTTATGGAGCAATGGTAACGTGTCCGTCTATAAAGTTTTCAAACCCGAGCATGGACACACTTCGTTTTGTGCATGGGACTAACCGTCTAGACTAATATACAACGACGTCTTAGCGGCAAATTTTGTACGTTGAACTAGATAAGCTAACAAGCCACAAATTTCTAGGACTGAATTAAGATTCATGTATAATCAGCTATAATATTTCTTCGCATATACTTCCATTTATAGAAATATTATGCATTAGTAGCGGACGAGAGATGGAGATGATGCCGAGAACGAGTTCTTTAAAGGCGCAAACCGCGAGGAAATCCGCGTAAGTGATGTCGCCGTGCGACGAGCGAGGTGCAAACGTAGTGGACGCTTGTTTTGATTGACGACTAATCAGTAGGTCAATAGTGTAACTCGATTGTACAACTGATATTTGATAAAGACAACGCACAATCTCCCTTGTAGGGTCTTTTTTCACTCTGTCGACTACTTCAACGGCCATCAAAGGCTCGAATCAAAGATATTGTATTCATTCGAGTGAAAGATAACAAGAGAACGCATCTGAAGCTTCTTCAAACGTACAGCTAAATTGACGTTCGAACCGATGCCTGCATGCCGCCTGAGTTCATTTCGAGCCTGTAAGAATTAATCGAAGTAGCTAGTAAGTGAAGAATTTGGGACACGTTTACGGTGGGCAATTATTGTAGCAGAGGTTAAAATCACGTACCAAATATCTCCTCTGATACCAAACCTTTGTAGATCTCCTAAAGCCCCTATCAGCTGGTCACACAGAGACGAATCTTCTTTCTACCCTAAACTCGCAAGCCGCCACACCGAAAACAACTACCCTTGTCTATTCGTACCAGCACAGCGGTGCGAGAATATTACATTGGATTGACGAATCTAAGTGCCGGCCGTCCTTCCCGCCTCAACGAGCCCACCCAGGACCCTAAAAAGAGACCGGCTTCGTCGAGATGGTGTTAATCCTGTGGGAGAAGACGACGATGATAGAGAGCTAACTAATGGCAATATCAGAGTTGTCGAGGGACTTTGCATTGATCATTTATTTTCGACTGGTAATCCATTTTTTTTGACGCCACGTTGTCCCTATGTAAAAAAATCCTTAGAAATGACTGTAAAATGTGGATTTCAACAATCATGGTGTCCGCCCACGATCTCGAATACGTCGAAAGTTCGGGAAGGTGAAGCGTCGAAGACGATAATTGCGGTAAATGATTTTCCAGGCACATTCAATAGCTTGACATGGACGCTAACCTTGCAAGTTGGCTTGACGATGACGCTCAGTATGTGGCGCAAGTGAATTTGAACGGTATTACGATAGTCAAGTCGACGGACCTCTCAGAAAAATATGATCGACGAATTGGCCTTTCGATCGGGGGCACTATGTTAATAGCGTATGTACCAAATAATGATCGAAATCAAAATGGAATTTCTTTGGCCTGGGTTTGAGCTATACAGCGAAGGAGAACGGAGAGCGCATCAGTTAATTTGCATAGATTGGGGTGTCTATGGGTGACCGCCAGTTGCGGCGAAGCTACCGCCTGCTTACAAGCTCCATTAGCTGCCCCAATTAGTGAATTGGTGATTAAGACCTAGTAAAATTTGAACGAGGTGATGTGCTAGCAAACGGAAGCTCGGGCTGTACGAACAAATAATTAAGTGAGCTTTGAAACAAATTCACCTGTGAAAAAAACATGGCAAAGCTGTTCTAACGGCAATTTAAAATCTAGCATAATGTGTGTTCGGCCAACACTAAAACGAGTGGCGTTGTGCTACGAGACCTGGCCGGTTACTTGACTTTTGCTATAACATAAGTGCAGCCTGGTTAAAAACCAAAGGATGCTACCACAACTAAGCTATATTTATCGAAATTAACTTATAGCATATATATATATATATATATATATATATATATATATATATGGATGATTCCAGGTTGAATAGACAAGTAGATTACCGATTTTTAAGTGCCTTCTGTAGGCGTATTGACTCGAGACTTTTCAGATGCTTTACGCAAATGACCTGCGATAACAGTCAAGAGCCACAATGAAAGATTTGGGATAGATAAAATAATATTCTTATTATTATAATAATTTCTTAATAATAAATATATGAGTGGCTATACAAGCCCAGATCTAGTAATTGTAAAGCCCTTGTTCTTGCTTTTCGACCACACAGACGCAGATAGGCCCTTTACATATCGGCGACACCGGTTAAATGACAGGATAACTAAAAATAAGTTTCTCTATCTGCTTATACAGTATTGCATCAAACTATTGGCTCTCAGCACGAAAGGGCTATGCCTAGGCTGGCGCTAAGCTTAGCAGGTGACGCGTGAACACGCTACCACGGCATCCTCACGGGAACGTGGCAGGATGACTGATATTGATGAGATAACGAGAGTGTATGGAACATTGAAGTGCGGTTTCAAACAAAACTGGGATTCTTTTGAAGCAGTAAATTCGAGTACTTAACTAATGAGAGCAAGCAAACAGGCAACAATCAGCGTATAGGAAGCGCACAAGTACCCACAGGGGATGCTCACATCGCGTTCAAGCTGGACGCCACCGTAGGAGTCAAGTAGCGTGTTTTCGCAAATAAGCTGTATCGTCGTTTATTACTGGATGATAAAAGATTACCAGGGCATTTTTAGCTCTTACAAAACTCTGCCCATAGTGCTCGTGAGCTTAATATACGACCTAAACGATAAGTCGGCCTGAAGTTCGGAGCCTTTGTAGATAACGTCACTAGTATGGTAGGCTTTGTTTCCTTTACGAAATTCGTACGGTGATCCGAGTGCTCGTCAATGCAGTCTAGAATCGACGATAAGTATAGTTCAGCAGCCCTAAATGATATTAGTCGCATATATACTCATGCGACCAACATAGCTGAGAATAGTACGCTAGAGATCGTGTACACCTACTTTGATGAAGTACGTGTAAATATTTTTTTCCTCCGGCACCGATGGGTAAAATATAATAAAGCACATATTTTACGGGTTAGGTCGCGAAAAATCAACCGAAACCAAAGGGATTGCTGGACTGGTAGCATCGGCTTCCAAACGAAAGGGAGAATCACAGCATTAAAAAGCTACTCCGTACTCTCGTCCTTATTTTCGAACATAGTATGGCTATCAGGATGTCGATTAGGACACGTTAACTTGGCTTAGAAAAAGCGTTTTGCGAAGAGACTACTATCGGCTTTTTACTTTGATCGGTTCACGGCCTTGCAGTTCTATGAATCTGGGTTCTCCGTTTGGAAAGGTATTGCAAAACGAAGGTGTAAGGTCTAGTTTGAAGTATTCACTTCGTTTGATCAATCAGGTCACCTAGAGCTAACGTAAACAATAGATAGTAGCTGACTCGGTCGGAGTATAAGAACACCCGTATATTGTCAGTCTCCATTCAGTTTATGTATATATCTATATATATATACATACTATATCCGGGCTATAGGTACGTTTGTTGCACAAAGATTATCTTCGGTATTTACACATCTACACGAGAAACACTATTATGATAGCACATTATGTGCTAAATGCAATATGATGTAAACATGTTTTATCTGGCCTTTCTTTATGCTGATGTTTAACATAGCTTTCATTACGGTTTGGCTGATGTAGACAATAAATCTATTTGTTTGCAATTTTAAATTGTGCATCAGAACGTACGTTTCCGGTATGACCAATCAGTTCAATAAGTCTGAGCGTTTTGGGGTAAAATAAGTCTGGAGTCCCGTCGCATAATGTCAAATATTGGTAGAATCGTCACTGATCTAAGTGCTTTAACGGCAATAGACCTTTACACGATTCACTGTTAGTTACTTGATTAGTTACCGATGAGATTGTTTAAATCTCATCAGTAACTATTTGTTTTTGCAAATGACTGTATTTGAGCAGCACCGTAATATAACTGTACGAAATTCAAGTTTTCTTTAGTCCAGAAAATTCGCTTAGAGGAGAAGTACTTAATAGGTACGTATCCTCTGGGCGACCTGTCGGATGATGAAATTTTCTCTAACCGCGAAATTAATTTTGTTCTTCACAGGCCATACGCCAAAGAGAATCACCAACAGGGCTTCGAAACCACAGCTCATAACGATGCAGAGGAACACAGATCAAACTCCCTCCGAGGCCCACGTAAAGGTAACGTCTTTGACTGGATATAATGTAATCAAAGCAAATCGCTTTTTGATCTGGTTCACTGTTCTCTCCTATTTGCCTACATCGGTAATGTAATTTTTAACTTACATGACACATGGTATAGGAACCACCAGAGGTGAAGGATACACGCATATTTTCTGTATATACTGAAGTGACTTACATATGCTTTTTATAGCACATAGTACGGCTTGCCGGTTGTTTTCAGAGGACCTCGAGGTTTAGGTCGTGGCTAAATTGAGACCGCCATGCGTTTTGTCCGACATCTTTAGTTTGAGAGTTACCCTGTAGTGCTAATTACCAACTACGTTACTGTCTGTCGCCATTTTCCTAGTTGGGCACAGAACGATTAAAGTGATTTTGACGTTAACACGAGTTTCAAAGAACTACTCTGAGTAAAAATACCACAACGAAACACGTTTCAAAAAGCTTCGTTAACTTAAGCAAGGTTTCATGGGCGTACAGAATAGATTTAACATGTTGGGAACCTTTGAGCGCTGAAAACACTGAAAACAAATTAAGATCAAGTTCTTGTCCATGACCAAAGGAAAGACTTTAAGGGTAATGCATCTGCCGAAAACCTCTTATTATTACGCTAGTTAACTTCATTAGATAATAATTAGCCGGAACGGTCACGGTGGTCCCATGTTCTTCTGCAGCAAGCTGAGACGCATCTGTCAATGCTATTTTTCTACATGACAAATATGTCGGCATAAAGCGAAAGGGTCGACCTTATGCGAGAGTATTTTTTTAGCATATTTTGTTGCTGTCATTCCCACTAAAGAACTGTTTCGGATATAATTGTCACAGGGGTTGCTATTTCTAGCTAAGCTCTATCTCTAATCAGCGTGTCTTTACCGTCGCCGGTGACTCCGTCCTCTTGTCCAACTAATTTCTGGAAAAGGAAATAGCCCGAAAATATAGAAATAATTAGAAAACAACTTGAGGAAAGTTTCCTTCTAGTTTTGGGTAGGTCTTTTATCTGCTACAGTGTTCAACCCCATTGACCGATAATAAGATTAACGGTGGTTTCAGTATCTTTTATGGACGCTGGCATGGTCTATTTTTCAAAAAGAAGAGGAGCTGAATTACCGCAGTAATAATGGAAACAAATATGCTGGAGGATAATGCAAAAGGTGAAAAAATTGATAGTTATTGCCGAGGTATTTTTCCAGCTTTTTGAGCACCATAGATATTTACAGATGATTATCCGTAACTGCGACCATATTCTTTTCAAGCGCTTTTCTGCTACAGACACTAAGAGTGTCTGTAAAAGCCCTCCTTTGTATTGTTTCTAAGAAAATACAATACTGCATCCAACCATTTGAGCTCTTTGGTTTCGCCTTGTTGTCTTCCTAAGAATCAACAGTGTGTAAACATTTGCCAAAGGTGAAAATAAAAAAGTGGTGCCCAAGAGATACTTTTGTTATTTAAGGGAGATATCTAGACTTTGTCTTCTCTTTTCGTTTCGCTTTCTTTGATGCAAATCCGACGTATACCGACAAAGCTAATAACATATTATTAACCTTGTTATATAAGATACATTAAATAGTCCTGATGAACTGGGAGAATGCAGCATGACCGCCTGTTTGCGCCAATTCCCAATATATAACCGATGATAATCGTCGACGAATTATCTGGCCTATTAATGATTCTGACTTCGCAGTCTGATCGAGGCGCACAAAGTAGAAGTCTAACACTAGAGCAAAACAGCAGCGCCTTCGTATTAACGGGACTCCACTTTTAAATTTTCTTTGAGGTTTATCATTAGCGTTAGCCTAATAGTTCATCCAGTCCGTTCCCTGTAGTTTTCACACTTCCTTCCGATCTATAAGATGGGGGATTCATTGTGCGTCTTCGTCGCTATATGCAGTCGAAGAAACGGGACTCACGAGTATATCGCAACCAAGCGCCAACGGACTATTTATTTGCTAAAATCCGGCCATTGGGCCAAAGTCAAAGAAAAGGTTGACCGTGATCTGTTGATCCATTTTTGGGATAGAGTCGTCGGTTTCTGTCAGTTGACAACGTTGTCCTGACCCAGTTCGGCTTGGCCGCGCTCACATCCAGGCCTCGGTATACTCAAGCTCGAAATATCGCTAGCAATCTTAGTTAGTCGCCTTCTAGGCCAATGGTAGTCTTTCCAGTGGCCGTTAGGCATTGGTAGTTTCTTTTTTGTTAGACTTTGAATCTTTTGGGCCGTTGTAAAACCTGTGAATAAAAGCAAACAAAATAAAGAAAATGAGTCAGCTGCGGTTAATAGTTTAATCTCCATTGACCAGGCGGAGCCACTTCTTGCATTTCGTTGGGCGCTCAAAACACTGGTCGTGTAGTAGTGACACCTACGTGTGTTTAATTGGTTTGTTGTGCAGTGGCAATATAGAAACAGGTATCAATGCATAAAATAATCAATAATAACAATTAAGTTTGTTGACAAATCGTAAATTTACTGTACAAAGCGAATTTGCTTTATAAACTTAGTATACTGAGATATTCCTAAGTCGCCCCTGCGCCAACTTGCTGAGTAAAAATTGTTGCTTGTCGAAAATTATAGTGCCAAATGGATGCTTGAATGCAGTACGTTCATTGGAGACAAAAAAGAAGCTTCTAGAAGAAGATAGACGTGTGAAAATGCTCTGAGTAAATTAAATGTTGTTGACACCCAAAACGAGTGGCAGAATAACCAACTGCACGTAATAACTCCACATTTTTGTTCGTGCAGCGGAGGCCGACATTTGACTCGAGACCGACATCTCAGAACAGCAGGAACGAATAAATGAGGCTTACTAGCAGGGTACAGAAGTGTCGACATACTCCTCCGCATTCCAGTTCATTAGCCATTTAATCTAGAATTATATACAATGCAGGATTGGTAGACTAACAAGGTAACTCTATCAAATACACATATGGCAATAGAATAGGCGATTTGCCGATTGCCATCCTTATTGCTAACAATGACGCAACACCTCACAACAGTCTCAGGCTGATTCCACTCTGTAAACATTCGTAACAAGTTGAACCTAAATAGAATAGTGATGTAAGTATGAAAGCCATGATAGCCTAGTGGGTAGTGTATTTGCCTGCTAACTTTAAAAACACATTGTAGTTTAGGTCCGAATCTAGGCACAGACCCACTTGTTGGGAGCGATTCATATGATGGAAATATCTTTCGGCGATGTGGACGTAAAGCTATAGAGTTATTATTAGCAGTTCAAACATAAGTAATATGCATTTATTTTTCCTGTGCCATCATGCCTCCCTGCTCTTGTTCAGGTAACTCATTTATATAAGCTATCACAGCCCATCCACATAGTTTTCGAGACATCAGCGGCTTCAACACTTGATGAATGTTACCGCGTTTATTTTTACAGAGACTAATTTACTGTTCAAAGGCATACTAATTTTAATGTTAGCTTTATTATTTTCTATAAATATTGAATGAAACAGCTTTGTTCGGCGTATATTTAAAGCAATAATTAACTTTTGCATGCATCAGGCTGAGCAAACACGGATCTACTATCAACAAGAAGTAAAAGTGGAGAAATGCATTTTGGCAAATGTTAAGTCGACCCTCCCTAAAATGCACTGGGTTATTTAATTTCTGATAACAGTAAAAAAACGGAAAATGCCACTTGAAAAGCTGCCTTGATGTCATCTTTATGTTGATCGAACGCAATACATAGACGTGGGCAAAGGAAGGGCCCGCTGACTAATGGTAAAAACCGAACGCGAATGACCAAAAACCGAACTGCTTTAATTGTAACAATAACACCGATATGAGTATTTTTGTCAATTGCAGTTAAGACAACAGAATAAGACCGAAATGGTTCGAGCGTATACATGTATGTACATAGAGGCTGTTTTCGACATAAACCTAACTAAGCACAAGCTCATAAACTATTCAAATTAAAGAAAATCTGCTAGAAGGTTTATCTCCAAACAGATAAGCCCTACGTCTCGTCTGGTATTATGTTACGATAAATTGCGTTATTTCGGGATTTCGTGTACTTAACCAGTTTTTTTCCTTAATTGCTAATTATAAATTTTGCGTTGCATAGAGATCTGGCTGCAACCTAATTTCTATTGCCAATTTTGCAGCATGGTTATGATGCAGGTGTCTCCAATATGTCCATCTTACAGGGCCCTAGTCCGCCAACGCCTCCGATGAGTAGTCCTGAATCATCCTCGCCTCCACCAGGGCTTCCTGTCCAACAATGTGAACGCAATTCGGCATCACCAGACCTCATCCCACAGGAGGTTCTGCAAGGCATCTCCAAGATCGCTTTGGTGAAAAACTTCAATCGACGTTTAGCCGATGACGAGATCAAGGAGCGACGTCAAATAAGGGATTCGACTGCCAACGCGAAAGACCACCAAGACGTGCATTACAAGGCATCTAGTACAAGCGGAATACCGAATAAGGGCTCAACAAGTCCCGTGAGAATAAACGAAAGCATTGGTGCCGGCAGTAGTGTACTGAAGCCCGAAGTTTTCGAAATCATTCCGCAGGCCAGGGAAAAAAAGAGGTGCATTGGCTAAAACTTTATCTATTAGCGTAGCACCATAAGGGCGGTGACCCATTAATCCGGATTGCATGAACTTTATTTTTTAGCCCATATAGTTTAAACATTCGTATAAACGTTCACCAAAAATAATTTTGCATCAGAATCCGATAAAAATTCACCACTCTTTTTGAGAGTAGAATTTTCAATGTTGTGCATTATTGAGAGCAGCCGATTAACATATACATAAACTAAGACCATACTTTCCGCATGAATACAGATTGTAGCAGAAACTTTTTAAAATAGTTTTTTTTTTTTCGTATCTCAGTTTTCAAAGCCTTCAGTGAATATGCCCAGAAATGCTTTATGTACGTCTTTGACACATTTCGCCACAATATATCCATTGTGCATTTCTTGATTCTTTATGGCTCCCGATGACTGCTTCTTGCACTGTGGGCCGGTTGAACTTTAAGGTAAAGTTGATTTTCCTATCTGAATTTATTTTAATTCTTTACTCTTCATCCTTTTTATAGCAATTTGTGTAGTGCTGTGCAAATTTGCAATCAATAGAACAGTTAATTGCAAATCTAAAATAACTCATTTATTGAAGCAAGAAAATGTCCTAAGCTGGATCGACTCGCTTGGAATGCCATCGGATGGTGCTAATATATCTAGCGAATAGGCGAGTGGTTATATACCCGACTACATATTTTGTATACAATTTGTCCTACTATCCATTAAGAATATGTACGCTGATAAATCTTTGGCTTTAGCCAAGCCAACCGCCTGAGCACTCGACCTACGTTACGGGCTGTTTTGTTGGCCTAGTATACCAGAGATCGTCGCACTTTTCCCTATCAGATCCAAATTTAATTTCTTTATCGTTACTGTGGAAAGCGAATTCCAACGTGTTTCGATCGAACGCAAGACACGATTGCTACAGCCGCTACCAGAATTGAAACATCTGCTTACGATGCTTAAACTCCTTACGGTGTCTGCTTCGCCCACAGCAATTGTCACAGCACGCAAAAGCACTGAAACATACGCTAGATGGACTGCAGATGTTTTCGTTTTTAGGACTTTACAGTCGGGCATGTCGTTGAACTAATTGTTGACTTTAGCGTATTTGTAACTTTAAGCATTGACTTGCGTAGTCTGACGCCGCCTGGACAGGCGTTATCTCTTTTAACCACTTAATCGCTCTTTCTACGACTTGTCGGCTGGCTTCAACTGGCATACTTTTAGTGCCTTCGTCTCAATTCATCAAACTACTCTATGGCAAGGGAAGAAACACCCTGTCACGCATATAATCCATCATAACATTGAGGCTGAAAGCAGCACAGGATGTACTGCACTGATCTAGCGATAGCTATGTTTGCGGTCACAGTGCGACTTGAAGCGACAATAAAATGATCCCAACATAAGCCCTTTGAGACACTGTTGTAACAAAGGCTTGTCGAGTGCAGATAATCGTAGAACAAAAGGCAAGTAGGTAAAGAGACGAAATCTAAAACGGACAGGGAGTAAAGCCGGTTTCAACTAGGCGACAATTCCGTTCCAACTAATCGACCTAAATTGTCCAACTGTAAAGTTAAATGGCAGAGCAGCACCTATTTAGGCTAGATTTAGATCTCTCACCGTCAACCACTGCTTTCGTTCGCTACTGGAACTAAGGATGGAGAAATTCGCTTTTTCTGGAAGAAACCGCTACCGAGTAACATTGGCTAACATAAAAGCGAGTTTATTGCTTTATGACTCAATCGATTAAGTTACTACTCTGATCTTGTTCAGTAACTACCATCACCTAGGGCGTATCAATAGCTTGTCCTTATTCTGATTATATGATGTTTAATAGACTAACCCGTTAGTTTTCGTGAATCCATCTAATCTTACTTCTAAACCTGCAAGCTCTTGTGGGTGTTTTCAGTTTTGGCAAGCCGTCGGATCTGTATGAACTTGAGGAGTATCAACGACGGATAGAACAAGAAAATTGTGAACGAAAACTGCTTCTTGCTCAGGCCGTTCAGGAACGAGAACGGCGAACTGCGGCTGAAGTCCATCGATTGGGCAGGATTAAAGCGGAATTGGCCAGGCTGGACCTTATTCTCAGCTCTGACGTTGCTATCCTTCGAAAAGAAATAGAAACTGCAAGCATCGATTTCAACAAAGCCGAGTACGTTTGGAGGATGCCTCTAGAAGTGTTAAATATTGCTTAATTAATAAAGTTTACATTGAGAATAATTTTAATTTGATCCAATCTATTTATAGAATTGCGGTAGAATTGGATATGTGTTAAGCAACTTTAACCACACTTAAAGCTGATTTGTCAAGCTGTTATTTTGGCCTATAAAGACATCATGGCTCTCTAAAATTAGCTGATTTCTCTAGGTGAGCTATTATCTATATTTTGTTAAACAGCAGTTATTCATATTCAATAATTCGCCAATTAATAATGAGTCCAACGAATGACAAATAATGGTTTATGGCCTTACTGATTGCAGAAAGAATTATGTTCGGATTGAAAAGGAGTTCATTGAGGCTAAAATGATTCTTCACCAGAAATTGGACCGAAAAGAGAAATTGACGGAGCATCTATGTTTTATTATCGAGGAGAATGAGGTCCGCAAAGCCAAGAAACTCGAGCAACTCATGGACGAACTTAATGAAAAGGCCACACCTCGTTACGATGACTATGAAATGGTATCTGCTTTTGAGCAGGACGGAGATGTCTGTACCTCATGTGGCGGTTCCGCTGACGAGACTGATGGGTTCGACAATGATGGCGATCATTTGGAAGGCGCAGCCAAAGCATCATCCGCGTTTGAAGAGTTCAAAGAAGTCAAAACCGATTAGACGTTAAAGTATTTCGTGCAAATGATAATGAGTATTTTGTGTAATAATAAAAGTAAAAGAAAAGCCCATTTTTGAGTACAGTTTGCTCGAGCACCATCGATAGAATTAGAATACCGAAGTCGAAATAAAATTGCAATAGTCACTGTCCAATACAGGGGATAAAACTGTCCAGTAAACTAATCGCTTAATGGAACTACATGTACCTAAACATTTTAACAACTCCCATAATAATTTCTGGCTGGCATCTCGGATAACAGCCGAGTATGGTTATCGACAGTGCTCTCTGATTGGATTACCAGCGCAGTGACGAGGTGGTTCCAAACTAGACAGCAGCGCAAGATGAACTACAACAAAAGAACTTCAGTGTTGAACGCATATGATACTTGAAGACTTGAATTGCAAGGTTAACGAACAAAACGTTCGGTACTCTTGATTATGGGATATCCTTTACAGCCATTTATAAAATCTGAGCACTTTTTTTTCAAATCAACCTTACTGCCTCCAGTGACGATTCCTACCAAACTGACGAGAACATTCCATCAGCAAATTGTAAAGCAGAGTATAATAATCTGAGAAAGGATTACCTTTCGTCAAACTTACGAAATAACCTCCCAAACGTAAAATCTAATTAAGCTACAGGCAAGGTTAGAACAACTACAACCAACCAGATACCGGGAAGTTCCAAGTGTGTTATCCGCTTGTTTTCGGTATATTATCTTTGCATAGAATTGTAAATAAGAAAGCCGGTTAAAAAGATGAAGAAATATGAAATATTTTACCTCTACCTGGTGTGATTAACTACTAACGTTATAATGTAATAATAGGGATTTTATAATGTGACAACAATGTAAAGAAGAAGAAACCCGTGGACTCACAGGGACATCTGTGATAGATTTGTCAACAGCCAGCTTTCATCAGCTGCCACATCGCACAGTGAGCGAAATGAATTTGACATTTATTCAGTAGCCGATCGGCCACGAACAGGTTGAGATAATTCGATGATTCAATTTAGAATGGCGTAAGACCTCACTTCAAATGAGAATGTTATACTAAGTAAGTTCAAAACGAAAACTGATTAAACTATACGTACTGAAGTGCAAAGCTTCAGAAACGTTCGCCTGTAAATGCGACATATTTTAGTTTTACACTTCCGAATCCATTATATGCAAAGTAACTGCATATTAAATTATAGTATTAATTAATGCACAAATACGAGAACAAACGATGGATTGAAAGGTAAAATAAACAGTGTCTTATGAAGATCAACCCAATTTTCAATCCAGAAAATGGAACATGTGAAGTATATCTGAGATATAAATAATAAATACGTACACCAGCTTAATAAAGTATCCACTAAATACTCGCATGCTATTGAGCGTTATGTGTACCGATGATATTACGCTACCTTTGCTGAGTGTTTATAAATACATCCTTACACCAATTATATCGTACCTTTTTTGAATAAAAACCTATCTTTTTTTAAATAAAAACCTGCCCCTATTGTCGTGACTAGCTCTGAAATTCAGATGATTGGCGGGGTCATTGTCTAAACAAGCGGCTTGTTACGATATTTTGGAGTATCGTTTCTTTTATTATAGGTTAATATATAGGAATCATAACAGCATAAATGAATGATATTCTTTCAGCTGTGAAATACTACAGCGAATACATATACGTTTCGTAAGCAGTGGGCCGTAATTAAATCCTCACGTAAAGTCGAATAATGGAACTAGTGAGTGTTCCACAATAGCATTTATTTTTTACCAGCGATTTCTATACAAGCACAGCAGCCTGACAAGAGTGCTGAATTCGCTCTGTATGATTCCTGATTAAATACTGAAACGTAATTACTCCGTCACACATATATGCGGAGGAGTTAATCGTAATAATACGTATATAAATATTCTCATAAAATATTTTCTTTTGTGCAGGTTTCATTCATCATTGTATTTGCGGTGATATTAAGTTCATGTTTTCCGTCTACTAACCAAAGCTTAGAAAATCATCGGCTGATGTACTGTGGTAAAACGTGCTTTTCACATCACCAGATCTATGGTTCGCTATCAAGAACCTGACAGTTAAATGTTTCTCGCCCATGTCTGGCAACTATTTGACGAACAGCTTCCTTTTTGGCTTCTCCAACACTCGATTGCAGGCGATATAACGCGCAAATATTGCTTATGGTACATTCATTTATCGTACTTGAAGGATTTGATGCCAGTGAATTCTCTAAAAGCTGAACGCCATCTAAGGATCGGCCCAAATAAAGAGCGCATACAGCTTTATTATTTACGAACGTGATGTTGTCCGGTTGCAATAGGGAGCCTTCCTCGTACGCGTCATAAGCAGCCTGGTATTCGCCACTGGCAATGGCGAGCAACGCTTTGTTAAGTAGCAGCTGAAGCCGATCTTCCAGATCATCCTTACTAAATCGGGAAGCCTCCTGCAATATTTGCCGAGAAAAGAAACGTTACACAGTGATTATTTAAAATAAGCGTATTAATTAAACTATATGCGTTAAGGATTCACTCAATCATATTATAATGTAATAATATGGTAATGTAATAGAAATTTATCATATTCTAATGTAATGATATGAGACATGGAAGAATAAAGTAGTGGTTTTAGTGGCTCTCCATTTGCAAATTATAGCGCAACAGTTCGGAAATTCTAATTAATATTAGTACCATGGTTAACGAGGTGCGTCTTAAATAATTAAGTAAAACGAAACTCAGGAGAATTTCACGTCTCTAGCTGCGAATAATACTACTTGAAATGATAATTATGAAACGTATAATCCTAACTATTTCCTCATTCGTATAAGGTAACAGCGAATATATATAACTGGCTGCATTAATACAAGGCGAAAACACAAGAAGAAATATACGTATAGTGTACCATAACATCGAGTACCAAGCAAAATCGGGATAACGAAATTAATCACTTTAAAATGTTGTTCTGCCCTAATGAGATCGCCGAACTGCAGGAACAATTTTCCGAGCTGTGATTCCGTTCGAACGAGGTCGGCTGGATCAGTCTGCTTCGAGCGAAGTTCCGTCAAAGAGGAAATAGCGAATTTAAAATCGCTTTGCTCTACACCATAGTTCGTCAGCATAGCAATAACCTTAAGTTCACGTTCCTTCCAAAGTTGCACAAACGTGTCGTCGTTTTTATTACGGAAAAACGTTATGGCTTCTTGACACTGATGGAGAAGCTTGCTGAGCTTGCTCTGAGCTCGATCTTTTGAGCCGCATAGTAAGTGAAGGTGAGCCACTGTGAGTAACAGTGTGAAAGGCACACCCCCGTGAGCCGAATTCTGTCCGAACTGCATTGGCAAATCCTCTAGCAGAGAAAACTGTTCTAACTCTAGCTTGGCTTCGTTGAATGCTCCAAAGCGAATGTAAAGGTTAAGCCTGGTCTGCCAAACATGCAACCGCCCTGTCATCTGTTGTGAATCATTTAAGAGAATTTTCGTCGTCAGTGAAAATGCTGCTCGTAACTGCCCCGTTTGGAGCAACTTTCGGAGGGTGATCTCGTCAGCAGGCTGATCTTCTTCAGCAACGTCGGGAAGTTCTTGAAGAGCTCGGAAATTCCGTCCCACTTCCTGCGTGTACACGATTTTCAATTCGGGTATACTCTGAAGAAGTGGGTAAGCATTTGATTGTTCGTGAACGGCTTTTTTCCACAGATGATTATCACTGCCAGAACAGTTCATGATTTGTCTACTTTATATCCGGGCGAGTAAATGATCATTAAAAATAGATTTAACTCTTTTTTCGTCACTCTGACAAGCTCATGAATTTCAATGAGAGTATTCACACAAGAGATCATCACTTCATTTATCACATCATTGATTTATTGAAAAACACATTGATCTCGAATTAGTGGTTCCTCTGATCCATACTAACATGAAACTGAATTCTATTGTCTAGCAGGCAAAAGGTCACAGTCGCTAGGCAAGTTAGTGAGCCACGCGCGTTTCGTCAGCAAAGGCCTACGCGTTCTCCTCTTGGTCTGACACTCAGTTGCTGCTTTCGCAACTCCATGTTCGTTTGTGTGTGTGTGGTATCTAGTGAGACATCGTGGCGGTTCGTCCTGTGTCGCGAGCCACGTTTCTGGCTCGGACGTGACATCAAATGCGTTCGCTAGCGAATCCATTGGGATTTTTCGCAGACTGTCGGATGCAAAGCATATCACTACTTTTCCATGGGAAATCCGCAAGATGCTCTTGCCGTCGCGAACAGGGCTATTTGGAATCGTCCGCCATATCTGATGCCATCACGCTAAAACAGCGGGAAACGTACACTTCCGAGATTGTTCTCGTCGTGAAGAAGACGCGATCGCAGTAAGCAGCGAGTTGCAAATTCTGAACTGAGAGCTGTTTCTGCATCCGTCAGGCATCGAACAGCGGGAGACTTCGTAGCGGGTGTTTATGGACAGCTCGTTTGTATAGGTTTTGTTATCTAAGGACTGTGTCCTTTTAGTCGGCGCGATTGCCCCGTGTTTGCTGGGTAACCAAACACCCCACGGCAAGTGCGCATTGTTTCGGTGCTTTGCGAGGGATACCGTTTTCGGGTGATGTTGCGCTTGTGTTGAATTTATTCAATCGACCCGTTCCGTAGAATAGGCGATTAGACTGGACCGGTGCGAGGCTAAAGAGTGAAGTAATACCGGAGCGAGCAGAGATGCTTTAGCTTGACGGCTCCTTCAGTGTCCTTCGTAGAGTTACCTGTGTCATGTATCCAATGTCCGTGTGACATTGCGGACGAGGAGCGGATAGTTCTAATCAGATGGTGTAATCAGTAGTTCATCATCTCGGCAGTCATGCGTATCGCGTACAAATGAGCGCTCCCAGTAAGTGAATGTCGGTATGATAACCTACCATAAACATAATGAATAGGCTTGTACCGACAAATTAAGTACCATAACGATAGTCCTCTAAAACTGCAAATACTCTGTAGAAAGCGAACATATCAAGAGGAAATAGTTTTTGGAAAGTATTGAGGATATAGAATACAGCGGAATAACATTCGATTACAGAAACAAGTTTACAGGCGGGTGCCTTACAACATTTTAAGCGATGAGACCGAGCAGATCGGCTTAGCACTTGGTAGAACCAATATTTTCAGCGATGCGTTTTAGCTCACATAAACATTTTCTTGTTGTTGTTGTGAGGTTTCGTAATTTAAAGATATTGTCTGCAGAAAATTAAAAGAATTAAAGTACTGCTGCTGTTACCTTAATATAAGATGTTTGAGCACTTAGTAAAATCAATTATTGCGAGTGTTTGTGTTGACACTTACCAAAAGCAAAGCTCAGTGCGATACGAATCTTTGCAAGGTTACTCTTTCTGGCTGGGTGTTTCACGCGGCTATTGTCGGGAAGCACGTTATGAGTTCTTTACAGGCACAATCGTTCAACTACCAGAAAATGCCTTCGTGGCTCATGTTGTTGATGGAACACATATTTATAGCAAGTTGCCACTGGACCGTGCATGCCCCGATGCGTTTTTTTAAACTAGTAGTAATCTTTACAACATCATTACTGGGTCACAAAGTCAGACAGGCCCGTCGACCAAGTGAACAGCAACCCCGCACGTAAAGTCGATGTAGCGGGCGCGTATGCGTGATCATAATAAAATATCATAGTAATTATCTGTAAGACGCGGATTCAAATCCTCTTCTGAAGCATCGAAACTATAACAAAGTACACTTCATGAAACGAACGTAGATGCTAAAGAATACTATAAAAATTATTCACCTCTTGGGAATTTCCTAGCTTTAGGAATCCATTAGCGTTACGAAACAAATTTTGCGGAGAAGACTTGTTTCCTTGCTCCCCCAACCTTGTCTTATTATTTCAAAGTCACTGTAGAGACGCTTGTAAGCTGCAAAAGCTCGGCTGTTAACGGCAATCTGGTACAGAAGTAGTGAACACAGTGGTATTGTCGCGTTCGCTCACTTCTCTAGGATTGTGGAAACGTGGACACCACTACACTTTACTAATAGGTTCGGTCCTTAACTATTACTCCCCGAGGACGCGTGTTTTCATTCTCTTCTAAACTTTCTTTTTTTTCTTTCTTTTCATTCTCTTCATATTAATAATAAGTCGTACTGTGGTCCTTTTAATTTTCTTGATATTAAGAAGTCGTAAATTTATGGTTATATACAGAGGGACACTTCAGGATTTCTACGAAGACTTTGTCTCCAAAAGGGTTAATAGTAGGTTGAATAAATGCCCTGAATATGAATGAAACGCTATTCTATTTGTTGACGAAAATGATTTACTAAAGAAGGGAATTTCAAATGGTTTTTGTTACGCTTCTGTCACATTTGTGTAGCACATGAAGTAGAGGTTTATGGAGCCTCGTTTTCGGCTGATATGACGGTGTAGATATGCATGTACATACTATGCAGTTTAAAATACGCCGCTCGTTAATACACATAAAAATGCGTTTTTTATAATTTGACTTAATGGTTCTTCAGGCCGGCAATTCTTTTTATAAAATGTTGAAAAGCTTCAGAAATGTCAGTTTGACATTTCTATAGTTTTTCGTAGTAAGTAAAAGTGCACGGATCCAAGCAAAGTTCGGAATTTTATTGGCGCTCGAATTCGAGTAGCAAGCATTTTCTGTCGAAAGCTTGTTATTGCAATTATATAGGTGTAGCGATGGAACATACGCCGATATTTTCTTGTACAATTTTACCCGTTGTATATACAAATAAAATAATAAAATATATTCTTATTCGTACGAAAATTATTAACACCAAGGCCTAGGCAGCTCAATCATGGCGAGATATTGTTCTAGCTAGCCTGAAAGTAGACGCTCGTTATTCATTGTTGCCAGTTGAAATAATCTTGTTTTTGCGCATTACAGCATGTAACATAAATGGACACGAATTCTTATCCTGCGCATGAACAATCTGTAGCTGTAACTGAATGGTAAAGAAACATGTATCTACAAAAGGGAACGCCCTTGTCTCTCCTTACCTGTCCTTATCTGGTTTATCTGCAAGGGCCATATAATCACCTTTGATAGTCATTAAAACAGGCTATATAGGTTAATCGGTAAGGTAAACCTAATTGAGACCGTTCGTTTGCTAGACAAGAGCACAATCCTGCTACTTAGGGTACTGTATTACGTGGACTTAGGAGTTTTTGGAATTCGGAACAACGTGATGATGTATTGGCGAAATTATTCATTAACTGCATAACCGAAAGATGCGATTTCGTGCGCGATTAAGTAAAGTCTGCTTTACGGGTAACTGACACTTCGACTCAATTATATTTACTCGAGAATAACAAGTTATCTGCACACTCCTACTAAAGTATATCTAAAGTGTGGGTCGATCTCGAGAGCTTAGCGGTATGTTTTAAAGCTAATTTCAACCTGAGTACATATAGCAACGCTCGCAATACCCAACGGGATACTTCAGTTAAACAAAGAAAAGCACGGAGCAACAGCACTTTAATATTAAAGTTATTTTTTTCTCCATGCTTTTTATAGTGATTCTAGCTAGTGTAGAAATGTGCCTAGTGGAATTATTGTGCATGAAATCAATCGATTTAAAATGATGGTGTAATATACGAACCAGAACTTGCACTCAAGAGAATTCGAATCAAGAGTAATTCTGTTGCAGCCTACCGCAACCATATTAACGCGATAGTGCAGTGTACAAACGTTGGAAAGTTCTAGACCATTGTTTGTACAGGTAATCTAGACTTTTTTGATATTATAAATGTGAAGTATATTTTTCAAAAAAAAAAACGAGAAACCTGAGTAGAAGGACAGAAACTTTGTTATCGTAACAGTTTTTTGTGTGTATTAAATGTTAATGAACACGCCATGAGTGACTTAAATCCATTAAAATAAAGCGTAGATTAGCTTTTTATTCGAAACAAGAATGAGTAAAAAACAAGCCACTAAAGGCACTGTTACCAGATTTTTTGTCTAATAGTCGACTAGAAAATTCCCGATGCAAAGAAGCTCTATTAATGAGATTAGAATAGATAAGTAATTAGCGATGAACATGTCTAACGAAATAATCGTGTTTATGATCGTACTCTGTTTACAACAAGAGTAGTTAAGGCAATTTGGTCTTTGTATGCTCAGGTAATGCAGGGTGCTTTACCATTCGCCAAACCTGCTTTTATTTATCAACGAAGTGTGAAGATTTTTTATGTCGACCAAGCGACCATACAATAGATATTAAGAAGTAAACGAAAAGGAGAGTGATGTCGATTCTGGAAGCTTGGACACTATTGCCTTTTCTAATTTCCTGCTATTGCACATAATCCTTATATATTCGAGTATCGCAAAGCTCTCGAACATGATGGTATCGCCCCAAGTACATGAATGTGTTTACATATAATACAAAGTAAAATGAAATGTAAATTATCTACTCTTTATTAGGTAATTTACTATTAAGACATTCCGTCATGTCCGGGCAAGTTAATCATCGTCATATATGGACGACAGCCAAAAACGAAGATCTTACGTTCTGAAAATAGGGAATGAACCTAGTATCACTTTTTTTGAATCATATTTAAGCGAATCAGCGTTTGTGGGCCTTTCAACCCATGAAGCCTACGAGAGTCACATCATGCTAGAGAAGTTTACATTGAGAAATTATAGTTTGCAATTACGATATTATAAGAAGGCAATATATGCCTCATGCACGAAGACAGGAACCATCACACGTAATTATGGCATCATTGATGCATAAAGTTGTTCATAAACTTTAGGACAGCGTAAAATGCAATGAAGAATATATTGTGTATCGGAGCATATTAACTATGTCGCTTCAGACGATTCATGGCTAACGAAAAACGTGGTGAACTGCCTATCATATATGAAGAGCATGGGTAAGATGCAAACTAGGGGAAGCTTAAGGTCGTTTTATAAGCTTTATATAAATGAGAAAAATGTTTGGATGAATTTCTTTGTATATTTGATGACAAAGACATCAATACAAGCGGACTTGTTTAGTATAACTACCTCTAGCCTCGGATTATTTAAATTTGGAACCTAAATCATACTTCACAAATTTTTTGATTTTAAAAATTCGTAAGTAACGTTTTGACGTTTTCTTATTCGAGTAAAATAATACTGGAGCCCAAATCATCCTCACAAATTTTTGAATTTTTAGAAATTCGTACATAACGTTTTGATCTTTACTCAGTTGAGTAAAATGATACTGGTAAGACTTCAGTTAAAACTTCTCTTTTTTAACACTCTGCGTAGAACATATAGCATTTTCGGCTGTTCTTATGTCCCGGTTTTGTCTTCACGAAAGAGGTACGGTGCCATCCTCATCAATCAATCAATCATAGCTACATTAAAAAAATGTTAGTTTAGCCAAAATTGAATTCTTATTGTAACTATAAATTAGCGATTTCTTCTTGCAGCAACTCTTATACGAGCGGTGAAGAGTTTCTCGTCCAAAAAGAATCGAACGCTGCTGGCTGATGCGTCGTGCTTAAAATTGATTTACAGGTAGTGCAACATGAAAGTCTTTGACTTTTCCAAATTCATAAAATATATGTACGACTTTTATGATATAATACGTAGACCGAAAGATTTCGTGAATTATGCGACCTAAACATTTCCAAAAAAATAACCTTATAATCTCAAATAGGGATAGTAGTATCACTAGATCTGCATTATAGCACCTTTGTTTTCATGAGTTTTTGGCCCGTCATTTTTTTGTGAAGTTTCCGCTTTAGTGTGTGAGACCTATCCGTGGCTACTTCGACAGCTGCAGTAAAAACCAAGGAAGTTGATCCAGCTTAAAGGCATTGGACAATAACCGACCTTCGTGCATATTCTAAAAACAAAAGCCCGGCTTTGATAAGTGTTTGGTTCTGTTTTAGATGAAATTGGCTTTTTTCCTTTACCAGGAGCCATGGACGAATCCGACAGACAGCTTGTGGACACAAGTTCTAATTCACCTCAAACCTTACCCTGTTGCATGTATCACGTTAGTTACATTCTTCACACGGCGTACATTACTAAGCAACCCATTGTGGTTTAGTTAAAGTATAGATTTGCGTATTCATCATTTTCGCTATGTGGTAAAAACTTTTTGGTGACATAAAAGTCAACCCTCGCTATACCAATTTGCAAGTTATAGCGTACCTTCGTTAATTTTGCATAATGGATGGGAAGCTGTATAATCATGCTCATTTACAAACCACATATTCATAGCTATGCATATTTTTGCTTCATAGGATTTTACCAAGCTAACGCGTTGCCAGTATTGGTTTGTGTCTCCACAATTATTACGGTTGGGGAGCAAAAGCCTGTACGATGATGATAGTATAGCCGTGGTCTAGTGATTTTTCGAGGCTTGACATTTGTCACTCGGTTAGTATGAAGAACCGCTTATAATAGGCATTCTGAGTTGTGTACTCAGCAAGATGCAACTATCAAAAGACCCAGCAAATTTCCTCTATCGAAAAGTGCTACAGTGATAAGTAGCTTTTTCAACGGAACTGAATTTCATGAGTGCGTCGGTCACACATACCTACTTCCGCATTATTATGGCTGGTGTCTATGTATTCTGTATGTGCGGTTAGCCGCTATGATAGTGTTTTATCCTTGTCACTTGTTAATGACTGGTAAGCACTTCGCATAATGCAACGCATCTTGTAGAATAATAGCCGTTTTTTAGAAGTCGTTTCTCTACCCGTCTAACCGGATAGAGTCGCCTCTTCATATTAATTCTCATGATGGTTAGCTGTTTGCGGTATAGATACAGACTACTCAGTCTTACAGTCATCAGTACCAGCTTCAACATCCGGCTGAAGTGTGTTCCACGGCTGCAGCCGCAACTTAGCGAATAACTGCTGCTTTAATAGGTATTATTTTGAATGTATTTTTGAATAAAATATTCATACTACAGGTAACATGACAGAAAATACTTGTACCGAAGGGATATTAATAATAGTAAAAATAAGAGTTATGGAAATCATAGTAATAAGAACGATATTTTCTATTATCACAACACAAGGACATTGCACAATCATACCCGAAAGCATAGTCATAATCGGTTAATTATTTAGCGAACAATGGATATACGGAGATGGCAACACTCTACCAGAGGAAAGAGCCGCCGCCTGACCCGAAACTACGGTATTATATCGTTAGCGACGAACTATGTTAGTTCCACGCTTTCTACATGAAGGGAGTTTTACTGTTCCTTGAAAGTGGCAGTGGCGTTTGGAGGAAGACGAAACAACCTGATGGTGCTCTGTGACGACACTTTTGTACTGGATAGAGCTTACGGACGACTCCTGAAGCTAAGCTTTGGCAAAGCGCCGAAACAGCATTTTACGAGTACAGGTATTATGTCTACCTCCCACACTATACGGGGTCTGTTAGTCAAGTAGAACATCCATTCGGTCCACTGGGTGACTGAGGGTGTTGCTGGTCGCATAGCTACCATCATTCGTACCCTCTTCATATGGTGCCATTAGGTGCATTACTCCAGTTGTCCTCTAGAATGCTCCCGAGCTCTGCTTAGGAGAGAGAAATAAGGTCGATTCCGTGTACGGCAGGTAATGGCCTACAGCTGATAGCAACTGTCATAGGCAGCAGCATGCTTACCTAAGTATCGATATTCTGACATAGGATTCGACAATAAGAAATATCACTGTGATCCTGATGTCTCAAAACAACCCTGTATTACCATAATGAACAGGAGAGTTTTATGGATTGACAAATATAGCATGCAAGTTCGACTGCGCTACGGGTGAAGTTGTGTGCAGTATTTGCGGGCTATCAGCCTTTGGTGAATTTCACAACTCGTTGATTAACCACAGAACTAATGGTCCAGTAACATATGATGTGACAAGTCGATAACGTATGACTTTTTCTTCTTTATTGGAACGACAGAGAGTAATTTTCTTTCTTTTTTACATTACTCTTCTGTGACAATATGACTTATAAATAGTGACATGGGGGCGATATGTGATTCGTGGATTTACATAAGGATTTTCATGAAGATTACGTCACCTATCACGACTGTAATATATCGGTTATCCTAAAATTTATTTAAGCGGAATATGGTTGGAGTGAAATGCAACGTAAAATTCATGAGCCTGACGAGAAGCTGACAAGTCAGCTCAGTCAGGTCCGCAACAGGTGAAAATCTATGATTTTTATGCAATACCTTAGTGAATTGCTTTCATTGAAGACTTTGCGACAACATTTAATGAAATTCTACTAACAGTTCAGTTATTACTCTGATGTAAATGAGTAACAGTTAGATTTTACCGCTATGATAGAAATCGGGACAACACTGTTGTAGGTAATAGTACAAAATGTATATTTTGTTTGTATATAGTTTGCGATGTATATAACTTGTTTGAAAGGTTATAACATCATTATAACTTAAACGAGTTGCTTGATTTGATCACTTTTAGATATATGTTGTTGAGTTGGTTCGCTTGTATTTTCATAGTATAATATAATTAAGACTTCTGTAACGTTTTTTCATTCATGCTACAGTATTCATCTTCTCTGTTGCTGCTTACGTACTTTATTTGACAGCACATTCAGGAAAAATAGTAAATTAAACAATTTATGTGATTAAATTCTATCGTGGATAAGAGACAGACATTTGTATATACAAGTGATATTACCAACGCAAGGTCAACAACCGCCATTCTTGAGCTAATGTCGAGATGCATAAAGAACGTAACACTTGCATAAAGCGACGTGATTTTATCGATATATGAACGCCAAGCAGAAAGAGCGTTTACATAGCGCGGTCTAGACACGCAGTAACATCGTCGAGGCAAGTGCAAGTTCAGTGACTCATGCTGTGGCAATGCCTTTTTAGAATGTTTACGGGTAATGTATTAATCCTGTGACAAAGTCTGCGCCTGTACTAGGAATTTTCATGTTAGCACGTCGGCAGAGTCGCTGCACTTAGGACAACACAACGGATGTACGGCGCGGCGGCCGTGAGCAGAGAAACCCCGTTGCGGCGTAGAAGGTGGGAGGACAGTCGAGGCTAAGCTGGTACTACCTAAACTATACAGTCACGCAGCTTTAGTCTCGACGAGAATCGATCATAGCGAACTTTGTCTATAAATATTGGACTGTCCTTCTTGTAGCGGTTACACACAAACAAAAGTTAAAGACGTTTTTTATAAGTAATGTCATCTGTAAAATTAAAGTGGTGATCTACTATTATGCGAAACTGGAGAGATTTTCATTAAAACCAAGTAAGCAAAGATAAAGTAATTCTGCTATACTCGTCATGTTCCATTAGATATTAAAATTGATTTTATTATGTACAATTAATTTCATTTTATCCAAAAACAATTAAAATTAATTAATTTAAATAAATTAATTTCCTCGCCTATTTGTTGATGTGGACACTTGCTTTTAAACTCTGATTTGCCCATAGCTAACTTTTTTAATGTTATTAATCACGCAAGCAAAAAATTCCCCATGAATATTCTACATACCCTGAGCAAAAAAAATAGAACAACAGTTTCGTCTTTTCATGGGCGCTGTAAATATATCGCTGACAAAATATTGATCACATTTATCCTTATATGCATATATATTACATATATCTCAACCGAAATCATTAAATTTACGGAATATATTTTTCACATTGTACAGTAAAGAACCCTTATATTCCCTTATAACCCTTATATTTTTCCGTTCAGTCTCCTATCTTCGGGTGTTCTGCCATTGTTGGACTAATTTTAGGAAGGCTTTGTCGTTAGCTTGAACTTATAGCTTATAGTCACACATGCTCTATTCCTAACCGTTCACGGTCGGTGCGTAGCAAACTATGAGTTTGCTGCAAGTACAGGTCCAAACGAACTTAGTTGAACAATCGTTCGTGTACTCTTATTTCCACTTAGTTCGACGCTCGCCAGCGGAGGCTACATCTTATTTCTGTATCCTTGTTTGCTCTATGACGGTCTAACAATAGCTCAACAACGATCGCATCCACGTAGCTCACTGTTTGACTGTCACACTGACCCCTCGCGTCCGTCGTTCATCTAACCGAAGCCGCTGTTGGTTACCGGAGACTCCCTTTACCTATATCAGACCGTGGCAACGCAATTGCGTTGTGTCGCGGTGGAACAGAGATATAGGTAACGGTGCCGCCCTTCCGCGACCCCTTTCCCAGTAAGGGGGACCTACTATTTCTCCATCGAAGTTTCACTTATCGATCGTACACGCCATCGTCCTAGCCGTAACGACAGCGTTCGTGGCCTTAAACGGTTCTGTATGTGGTTATGTACGTTGCTCCGAAGGCTCGCCAAACTTTTAGGTTTCTTCAGGCAGCAACCTTGGGGTTCCTCACATATCCCTCGTTTAGGTTCAAGGGAGCAATGTATTTCGGCTTATTGGAATGCTGTTTATGCTGTAAAAGCAACAGGCCCACAAGGAGTGATAACATAGAAGGATCCAGAAGCAGCAGAGCGCCATATGTACTGCCGTTTTTGAGAGACGGGAAGGCATATATGTTCGTGGATCAAGAACATTCATGACGTGCTCAATGATGATTGTGCCAGTGGTGATTAATAGCTGTCGCAAGAACGATTTTTAGGCGATCGATCTTTTGCTACAACTGTTTCCCACTGACCCAGATCATTCTGATTTTTCCCCTTTGTCAAGAAATTTTGCCTTGAACTTCTGATTTAAACAAATCTGCCTTGGAGTATTGGAGTCTTTATCAGCTTTTATAATTGTAAGTGTATTGTGCTTGCTGTGCTCGCAGGTATCGAAAACGTTGCCCAGGCGACGCGGACCGAGAAAAACGTAATAATCTAAAATAGTCGATTTTGTTGATAAAGTTGATGGAACGCTATCGATTAACAGAATAATGGTACAGTTAGGATCACTATGTCGTCGTACGGCAACCAAGAAACGCCGCTGAATTCCCCGTACACTACTTGTAAAATCTTCCTGTTGGGATAAATTATGACAAATTTATTTTGTGCTGAGCAATTAATTTTGAAGGCTTCTGGTTTGATTGCAACTACCAATTTAGCGCAAATAGGAAGTGTCGTTATCAGACATAATGTTAAGACATGAAAGAAATACCCACTTTACAAGCTCTGTATAATATTGCTTCGTCTCTATTAATGTTGTATTTGATAAAAACGTCTGGATGTTTTCTTTACCCACACCACTGTCCAAGAAGGAGAGCACTGTGGTGGCAAAATGATGCTGTACACTACGAATATGTGATGATTACGTTAGACTAAACAAAAATGTTAAGACTTAATCTATTTTATTTGAGCCGTACTTGTTTCAATCCCACAGTTTACCAAAATTTATTTGTTCTATTCTGTACAGTGTAATATAAGTAAATACGATGTCGTGTTTATATTACTCGAGAAGTCTACAAGTAAATATCAGAAGTCTTGTTACTTAAGCCGAATAATTTTTTCATGACGTCATAACCTGGTCTTCTAGTCGAAACTAATTTACTGTTTGCTAGTAGTATATGACTCCGTGCAGACCACAACATTAGTGGCAGACGATAGTAGCATTCACCTATTTTAATACTCTTTTCAGTTTTTTTTTAATCTATGATCTTATTATTATATAGTTAAGCATGGTGATCAGTTATTTACTTGTTTTTTTTGCCTCTGTCCATTTTTCAGCGTTAGTCAAAGGCAGTTCGCAAGACAAGAATACTGCGATCATTTCTACGGTCATTTTTGTATGCACTCCATTTTGCGTCGAGTCCCTGAAATAGCTGCCTACAGGACATCGCCCCTTAAACACGAAATCAAGCACGACCTATGCACATCTAATACTTGCCATCTGTTTCATTTCGTTTAGAACAGTTTGGAGAATAGCAATAAGCCTAAATTAAGTTCACAATCTTCCCATAACCTTTCCGATCAATTCAGAATGAAACGATTGTAGTCAATGGTCGATAACCGTCGATGTCGGTGGCTGACTTGCCAAACAGCAATCCCTCCTGGACTATATCCCTACTGGACCCAAGCCTTCGTGCAAATTTCCCGCCGTTTCTACTCCAATTCGAAGAAGCTTAATGTTCCTTGACACGCTTTGTCGTCAACCGTAGCAAACCTTAGCAAAAACTTCCAAGATTATTATCAAACTTTACTTATTCCCAGCTGCATCGAGGTATCACACCCTGTTCGCTATGCCATCTAAAAAATACCGGTTTCTTTTTGTATTAAATAAGTGAGAACGTGAGAGAGATTGCTAGGCTTAAACTTAGTCACAATGGTTTGGATGAAACAGTGCCGGCCAGCCAATCTATCTATTGTGCTTGGGCTGGTCTTTGTGCTGGTTCTCGTGTATTACACTCTATACACAGAAATGAACGCTTCGAGAGTAGAGAGGGTCAGCCTACGGCTTTTGCTCAGAACGTCAATAATAGCGGCTGTTCGAGGTGGTAAGTGAATATTTCGTAGTTCTCTCTCTCTCTCTCTCTCTATCTCTCTGGGAAAATATATACGGACAGTTAGAAACTCCGCTATACACAAGCTATTTTACTATTTATTATTTATCAATAGACATAATCAAGGACAAGCACATCGGCTAGAATTGTACCCATTAAGTGTAACAAACTGTTTTTCTGACACTAGTAATCTTATCTGTTGTTTTTCCTTTGTGTTGTGTTATGAATAAATCTATCGTTTTCCAGGAAACGAGGTGGTGAGAGTTCGACAGAATGGTGTGAAGACGTCGAGTAAAGGAAAAAACCAGTTTGGTCAGGATGATCCTCTAACCGATGGAGACCTACGCAGTCACCGAGCTATGCTCAAGACACTACTAGAAAGTTTTCCCCATTTAAATGTCCTTTCCGAAGAGCATGAGTCCAGCAGGCAGTCGCAGCCTCCAGCTGCTGTCCTTCTTGAAGAGGTGAATTTGCCGGAGTCGATCAGTCATTACGCTGATGAAACCGTGCGGATGAGAGATATCCTTGTTTGGGTCGATCCGCTGGATGCGACACAGGAATATAGCGAAAATCTGACACACTTCGTTACGACAATGGTATGCATAGCCATTAAAGGACGCGCCCAAATTGGCGTCATTCATCAGCCGTTCCTTAATAGGACTGTCTGGGCTTGGGTGGGCCAAGGGCCTTCAAAAAGTCTTCGAAGGATCAACCCAACCGAGGAAGCAGAATCACAAATTCGTATTGTGGTGTCGCGATCACATGCGGACAAAGTTGAAGCGTTCGCCAAAGAGAACCTCAGCGGGAATATTCATGTCACGTTGGCAGGAGGTGCGGGCTATAAAGTGCTGCAGGTATGTAAGCTTGCTTTTTTCATCATAATAAATCCCTTTCATGTGAAAAAATCGAAAGTCTACACTTTGAGTACGTTGTATATCGAAACGTGGAAGTGTTGTAGTTCAATTGCATGTGATACAGGAAGTGCATCACTTAAGTTAGTGGCGATAGAGGAGGGATTTTAATAATGCTAAATTTGAAAAATAGGTCGGCAAGTAGTATGATACAAGAAGAACCATAAAAATCATTTGGGTGATGTTTAGACCTGAATATTAATAACTGGCAACTGTAAAATATGCTCCAAAATTTTAGTTACAATAAAGCCACAGAATAGTGCATTTAATTCTTTCACCAAAAGCTTTTAATTGAAAAATATTGAATACAACTGTTTCAGTACGTTTCACCTATATTTGACCTTTTCGCATGTTTTAGGTTGCTGAAGGAAAGGACGACCTATACGTGCACACGTCACTCATTAAGAAATGGGATATTTGCGCGGGTGCTGCCCTGCTGGAGACGCTTGGCGGTCAAATGATAACCTTGAAAGGAGATGCCATTGACTTTGGCCAGCGGCAAGAGGAAGTCAATGGGGACGGAGTCATAGCGTTTCTTAAGGATAAGAACGATTTCCTACGCCTCACGAGAGCTGCCCTGCCGAACTGAGTAAATATTATTAAATCAAAGATAGGGAAGGGAATTAGCGAGGGGGAAGAGAATAGAAAAAGGTGACAAAGAGCGAGAAAAAAACTGAGGGAGGAGAGAACCAAATGTGAAAGAGAGAGAGAGAGAGAAGTGCAGAGTGCAAGAGAAAAAGTCGAACGTGTGATAAAAAGCAAAATAAGGGAAAACGAAGAAAAAGGAAAAAGAGACGTGAGAAACTGTAAGAGATTTGTGAATGCCATATATGATTACTATATAACACTAATACAAGAACAATTAGTTAACGAATACAATCCAAGGTTATGGGTGCAGTAGTCTAATACCAGACAATGCAGGACGTAGCAACTTGGATGTCGCCTTGATTGAAATTGAACCACGCACCCCCAGATGAGATCGGAGCTAAGGCAAAACAACAAATCTAAAAACGCACCGTAAGCACATATCAGCCTTGTTTGGTGGTACTGAATACTAAAATGGAAAGTATAGTCGCCATGCGCTAAGGCATAAAGTCCTTATCAATCAATTTATCATGCTTCTTGTAACGTACCTTGAAGCCTGTGAAGCCGGTCGTTAGAGTAATGGTAAATACCAAATAGTAGACGTCACTTGACCAAAGGTAGTAACAAATAAAGGCACTGAGCAGCACTGGACAATATCCTGTGCTGGACAGCCTTGAAACTTGAAAGAAGGTGATGGTGGAAATTTGAATGACTTCCATAAGTTATTGCAAAATACAGATGATAGCCGCCTAATGTACTCAAGCCAAGTGGGAGAAACAAAATTGCACTTATAGTGACAATTCATTATTATATCGAATATGAAGATGACATATATGACGAAATCAATGCTTTAGGCACATATTTGTAAATGATCGATTAAAGACTGCAGGCGGAAGGCGCACTTAGTACTTAGGGTTTGTAGAAACTATGTAAGATGAGATGGAGAATGATACATATATAAGACGATACGTATATAGATATTTATTAGGTTGTAAACGAGGTAAACAGATGTAGATTCAAATGGTGGAGCAGCACGGAGCAAGTCAGTGCAAAGTAAGGAAAGAAGACTCAAGATTTCTGCAGCAGAGCCCTTACTTGCGTGCCTAATTGTCTCGGCGTTGTGAATCTTTATAAGAACACAATGATGACGATGATCGTGATTGTGATGATAATGAGTCATACGGTAGTGCCGTACCCACATGCGCTTTACTTTGTGAAATGTGGGGAACGAGTAGGAGGAAGGGGACGAGCCCAATAGGTGTAAATGCGACAGGTACTGCGAACAAGGCAACAACAACAACAACAACAACAACGATAAATATTTTCAAGGATGGCAGCACAAGCGTCGCGGAACATGTTAAACAACAGATATAAAGCACGCAGTTAATTACTAATTACTGTTGCTGATGTTGAAATCTTGGCTGGTCTCATCGTTGCTATAGGTCCGAAATGTCTAACAAAATTTGGCATCGTACTGTTCTAAGAGTTACTCAAATGTAAAACGTGGTCGGCGAAAGCGCTTTTTTCATTATGAATGTTTTTCAGTTTGAGTAAATGTGAAAATTTGGAAAACGTTTACTTATATTCATCGATCAGTTTCACCGCAGGGTGAGGTCGCCGTTTTTAGGTATATTGATCTGAGCTATGAACGCTTCGTACATAAGTTTAGCGCTCAGCACGATCCATATCTGGTTAGAACAGCTATTCCATTGAAGGCTCATGATCAGTAGATATGTTGCGGGTTGTTTCATTCGTTTGTGAAACACAAACCAATTTAATACCTCTTAGTTCTATTATATTTATTTATTCTATTATAACAGCGTGCTTGTTAACACACACTAGTAAGCCTGACAAATTTGAGTGTTTTGTCAGTAAGATTAGCAGAATGACCTAACTCAACAGAACTGTCACAAGACACTTTGTACAGTGGCCAAGGTGTTCTTTAAAATATGAAAGTTTTTAACTGCGGAATCAATAGTGACAGTTGCACCAGTCGTTTATGAAGTTCCAGTAAAAGTTACGGGCCACTGCAGTTGCATTAATCGCTAACTCCCGAGGCAGACATAGGAAACGACTCGACGGGCACACTCATCCTGACACCTAACTCTAGTCCATGTACATGATTATACTTACAATATTGTTACGATTATTACTGCTACCGTTAAATGCAAGCGGAAATGCGCCGAAAGTAGCACTATTAAGAAGAAAATTAAGTCACTCTTTAGAAGTACGTGTATAAAAAAACAATTGAAAAAGCTGTCATTTGACCGTGTCTTAATTATCGATAGACTAAAATGCATCAGTTAGACTATATACTCACTGGACATAAATGTTGTAACATCACACTGGCTGAGCCTGTATATTGTGACAACGGACATTACATAATGCACGGAAGTCTTAGATTCCTCGTCAGTCACAAATTCTTCTTAATTAGTTAAATTCCAAAATTTGATTAGACGTAGAAAAGACAAGAGTTTTCTTAAACGCAAGGACGTTCAAAAACTCTTGTACCTAAGCTTTACTGTGAAATGGTTTTAAACTCCTAGTCATATTTTCAATCTTTGTACAATGAATTATATCTTTGTCTGACTCCCCCGGAAGCATCGGTTAAGGCCGAACAAAACGACATAACTAAAACGAATCATTTATCCTATTTTGGATTGAATATTAACATATTGTTTTATATTAAATGGGTGTGCGACATAAGAAAACGTATTAAGTAGCATACATTTTCTAAAAATTAATTCAAATGCGCTGAATTCATAAAACCACCTGTACATTCTCCACACCTAACAGCTGTCCTCTACAATTTCATTTTACGCAAATGTTTTTTTTTATGAAGAACGTTAGCTTAGAGCTCGTATTAATGTGTTTTATATTAAAATTTATTTTCCTTCGAGTTTTGATTATTCTAGAAGCCCGGATGCTTCTCACGGTTTTTCTGCATGCAGATGATCCAGTTGAGTATATGTGGAATTCAGCTGTACTCCTAGTAAGCCCTTGCTAAGATCTGCGTAGCTGTCCATCGCAGAGCTCGCATAACCGCGAGGCCAAGTGTGTGTACCTTAGGGCCTCCATAGTAGTGTAGTCAAAAAAACTGCAAAGAAGGAAGTTATAGGGCGCTCCAGGCTGTGTTAGCCAAGAACCAAAAACCTATACCTCGGTTTAATTGTTAGTCCCACTAATCTTTAAAAGATGAAGTTCATAGAAGTGGAGTGGCAAAAAATAGTTTTAAATACCTTTTTTCTTTTCGGGCTTACCTCTGTTTTAAGTAAAAAAAAAACGTACCTAGTATTGAATTCCACAGTGGTGTACAGCGGTCAAAGTCTTTTATCGGACGTATAAAGGATGCAGGAAGCTACCAAGAGTGACGCCCGCAATCGCAAACCTGCAGTGCCTTCGCCTCTCCCAGCAGCTCTAGTTTGTTGTGGAATTCTAATGGTTGTCTACGTAGCCGCATGTACCGTTGACGTTATTTGGGAACTGGTAAGGAACTTAAGCAAGTAGGTTTGTTAGTGAAATAGAGAAACAGGATTGCATTTCACGTAAAATAAATAAGATAAAAGTCCTGTTCTCAACAGAAGGCCCTAGGCCGCGCTCTAATCCACCATACACCGCAGTCTTGCACTACAACTGGAAGCAAATTCGCGAATGTCTGTGCCGAATCCTACATTACAGTTCTACGCTGCACTCACATTACACCTATATTTAACAATACAATTTAAGTATAATTATTAGGTAACATTATAGGGTACTGAGTTAAAATTAACGAAAACCTTTGACGGGCTGTTTATTGTTAAGTTTGATACGTCCATCCGCCACCTCTAATCTTAAAGCGAAGCCAGTTCTTTCTAGAACAAATAACAAACTCATCGGAATTTGAGCAAACATCACCTATTATTTAATCTTTCCACTCTAGAAAAACCGCCTACATAAAATACTTTTTTGCTCAAAACAGAGGGTCTACGTTATTGCCGGTTTTACACACTTACGAAAAATGGAAGCTGAGTTCTCTAAGGCAAGCTGAAAGATTCTCAGTAGGATTTAAATTTGACAGACGAATATGAAATAACTCAAAAATAAGTATGCCAACAAGGCCTTTGACAATACAGAGAAGATAATACAAAATAATAACTGTAATAGTAATAACATATTTTGTTTGTTGTCAAATCTGAAAATACAAGACCGTATCGATTCGCACACGCCCAATGCTAATTGAAAAAGTGAATCATCGGCTCGTGATGATTATATGGTTTTTAGGCGGAGTTTTAAAAACTACAACATGCTTGGCCCTGACTGATTTTTACCTTCGGATAACTAAATTTCGGTTTCCTTGAAACGTATGTTTGTGACGGAGCTCGCTGGTCAGTCAATGTGTCCGACAATAATGCAATTCTTAATTATACAATTATTTTCTATGAGACAAAACTTCGTACGTTCAACTTATGAACTAAAAAAGCCATACTAATCGTATTTTACTACTAAGTGTTCCTTTGTTTCACACCTTTCGACAGTAATTGTTGTAGTATTTCACAGATAGCAAAGCCTGTTAATGACTTTACTTTTAGTACAGAAGACAGGTAGAATACCTCGTTGAGAGTTATGATAGAAACAAGCTTATGAAAAATGAGCATTACGAGGTGTCTTAGGTGGATCAGATCGGTCGTCAAAAGCAACAGAGCGATAATAAAGTAAAACACTACCCGAAATCAAAATAAGCGCTGAGGGATATATATATATATATATATATATATATATATATATATATATATATGATAAAAGTACTTTAAAAATTTCTAAGTTTTCATTTTAGAGTTAAAGGATCAAGAGAGTAACATAAGGTGCAAATGAATGTGAAAAAAGGAGTGAAGTGAAGACTTCTAAACCCTCAGGAGATTTTCCCTTCACTCTACATATCGTTGAACTGCATTTCTATAATTAATCTAAGCTCCTATTACAATTTGCCTTTGATATAAAATGAAACACGAAGATCGAAAATAAATATGAATCGCAGACAAAGGGATATAAACGACATACACTGGTATAACATCATCTTGAGCACGACCCGTACCACCGGCTGAATACATCCTTGCGCGGTTTGATAGATCCGACTTAAATTATAGTTCGGTATCTAACTTTACTTGAAGACATGCAACTGTACAAAACGACATACAAACCTAAAGGTCTATTTCCAATTAATTTAGGATGTCGTTATTGGTCGATTTCAATATAAGAGTGGTTAAATATATATGGATCGGTTAAAGTAATAATGCAACACATCACATCATTCGTAATACTTGTGACTGCTTATTTATCTCTAGGTAAACAGACGAAGCTGAGAATACGCATTTGGTATACGGTAAACTTTTTGTGAATTTTACGTAATATTAACATTCTGCAAAATAGAGTGTTCTTAATTATGCACGTGCTATGCAGATTTATATCTGTAAAAGAGGAGCTAAAGCAAGTAGCCGGCACACTTGGCGCTTTCGGCCCAAGACAGCTATCCAGGTGTCTTCGCGTTTCAGTCGAATAATGGAGACCTCCAAAGCTACAGTTGAGTCGGATGACCTGAGCAATGCTCATTTCAATTGTAGAGCTGGGACGATGTACCGATGAGATTGTTTCTAAACAACTTTAGGATATCGACGAGTGATGTATGTGGCATTGTGGTAAAATTAAAAGTTTATTTAATTTTTTGTTTTATCAAGAGGTGTGTCGATAAAGTACTGTATATTTTTGGGCTTTATTTGGGCCTTTGATGCTTTCAAAGCAATTTCCTGTACTTTACTTTCGACCACCGTTCGATCACTCTCTTAGTTATGTATAAGCAACTGAGTTGAAAAACGATACGTTATGTGACTACCTTTCGGCTTATCTTCGATGCTAATAGATAATAATGAACTTCGGAAATAGCTGGGCGCGGAAACAGCCACAAAAGCTACTATTTTTTTTTGGTAAGAAGTTTTACATATGCACGCTTTTCATGAACAATGCATCCCAAGAATGAACTAGCCTGAATCATATGTACAGTACATGAAAAATAGAGAAAAATTGTAGCACATTTTAGCTACGAATGTAGTAAGCTGGGTCAGAGTATTATTTCGAGATTTCATACCTTCTCAAACGGAAGGAGACTTTAGCGCCCCTTGGAAGGCACTATTTGGGAGCATTTTACATTCAGCACTTGGGAATATTTAAATTGAATCACATACTAGATAATGAAGCCTTATATACAAAGATATACAGAAAATCATAATTACGATCTATTACGCTAGAATCAATTAGATCCTAATCTAAATAGCAAACACTAGCATAGACAAGCAAAATTTGAAAAAGTGTCTCTCTAGCAATCTCTTCTATCGTGTAATAAAAGCGACAGTAGAGAAAAGAGTCTGTAATGTTCAGTATCAGACTCAAATAAATAGTTATAGCACCCTTGACGTCTCGAAGCTCACAAATAATCATTTCTAGATCTGAAGAGATCGTGATTTTAAATATATATTATCGAAATATAAAACAGTAATAGCATGAAAAACGAGCAGAACAAGAAACACGGAGGCTTATTGTTTGATACCGTAACAATGTAACGTAATAGTTTTTCTCTACCTGTTCAGTCAGATATTCTTCTTTCCTTTTTGTCAGGCATTGCTTCTCGTATTTGGTAGAGCTTTTTTGTTATAAATGGAAACCTATTTTTAGAACCCGTTTTTGATTCTGAACCGGTTCACTTGTGAGAGTAGTTTAGGTATTGCACTAGGCCAAAAGTCGACATTCTAATCCATCTCTAATCATTTTTTGCATTTTTTTTTCGCTTTTTAGAAATAGAAATTTCAAGATTTTTTACAAAGCAATTTTTTTTATCTTGCAGTGTATTCACAAGCGCACAGAATTTTAATTAATCTATATAAAATGGCTTGAGCAAGAATTGTACAATGGATTATGATGTGGGAAAATTGACCGATTGCATCTTGAATTACTTTTATTTATTTTAGTTACTTCTCTATGTGTTAATTATAATTAATCTCTATCTTCATGTAAGTGTAAAAAATCGCATTTTGTTTTCTATGCGGACTTAAAGAAAATTGAGCTGATTGAATTGAGAATTGATTATACATTCGAAAGGTTGATTTAATGCTTGGTCTGGTTTATTTGAATTTGATTTATGCCTGGATGGTAGCTTATGTTTTTAGTAAATCTCTCTTGTTCTGAAACGGAGTTTTGTATTCACTTAAAATAGTTAGCCCGTGGATGCCCTAAGAAAATCGGTACTCACTACAGTTACTTGAAAATGATAAATCAAAGGTGAAACTAACCCAGTAAGTTTTCGGAGACAGTAGGCAGAATAGAAACGAAAGCGTCGATTGCATTTAAGTATATCAAAGCACTGCTGCGGTCAAACGTAATGTTTTTTTTTTTTTTTTT